TTAGAATCAAGATGGATTCTCTTCCTCCCCTACATCATCTGCAGGAATAGGGTTTCTGCAGTTAGAACAAATCTGAACCCTTTTGCAGAAAGGAATAGGCACTGAATGGCCTTCAGTTGTGTTGGGTTTGTTTGGGATAGGGAGAAGAATGGAATTGAAGCTCATGTTTGTTATTGGTGTCAACTATTAGCTTGCCTTTCTTTGTGCATTCATAATCTATGGAATACGGTGCTATAATTTTTCTTCAAATAATTCTCCATTGATGTTGTTACTAAAATACTGAGTAAATTCATTTGGTGCTCCCAACTGCAGTTGCAGAACTGCTGCCCAGGAACACCTTTAGGGCTAGAGAAACATTTGGTTTTTTGTTATCTACAGCAGCATTTTTTTTAGTTATCTACAGCAGCAATAATGAGTAAAAGCATCTTATTTAACAGAAGTCTGCTCCTGTTAAAACTTGCAGAAAATCTCTGTAATTGCAGGTGGGTCTTTGCTAGAAAACTGTATCATGTAGCACACTTTATTTTGAACTCCTGCAGTTCCAATCACAGGCCTATAGTTTGTGCAGTTTTGTATTTGTTTAAAGATGAGGTGTGTAATCCATAATGACTTGAGGGTTTTGGCACTTAATTCCTCCCACTAAAATGCATGGGAGGAATTTTATGTTTAAACCAGAAAGATTTAAGAAATAATACAATGAAGTAAAACTTCCTACATTTTCCATTTTGAAGTTCAGCTGTAGGAGTAGCAAATTCATTTTGGTTTTAAAGGCTTCAGTTTCATACCAAGGATGCACATATATGTGTATGTGTATATATATATATATATATATATTTATATATACATACACATATATATAGGAAAAAATAGTGGCTGAGGGTTAAGGTTTCGACTTCAATTAGGTAACAGCATCAGACTGCACCAGCTACATGTTGAAGACAAGCCTAAATGCTTATAAATGAAATTGGAATCTGGATGCCTTAAACATAAGGATCATTCAAACATTTGGTAGCCCCACTCAACCCTACAGGTACTTCATTTGAGGCCTTACAGGTGTTGTAATGACTTAAATTTAGATTTAGACTGAGAGCAGGTAGGCACCTGTTACTGCCATGGTTTCACATCAACAAGAAGAAAGAACAGTGAATCATGATGGAAAGTGCATTGTTCAAATATCTGTAGAAGTTCTGTGGATTGGAGAAAAAGCCATTCCTTGCTTAGGCCCATTATAAGCTCCTCACAGGATCCTGTCTTTCTCCACTGTTGAAGGGAGCTCACCTCCCTAATATAAAAAATCTTTGCCACAGCCAGACAACTGTCACAGCCTGATCTTTGATTACACTTAAATGTTCTAGAAAACCCCTAAGAATTCATCCAGAAATGGTATTAGTATGTATCTAATTAAATTATACTACTAATATCTGAAATCAAGTAGGGGAATTGATCACTAATCAAACAAAATGGGAGTTAAGTTAATTTAATCCTTGCTCAGGTCCTCTGTGCAGGTCTGAATTTAATTCCTTTCATAATTCAAGGTAGAGCTTAAACATGTGTTCCAGTTTTGTTTCAGTTGTTTTCACTTTTTAACAGTCACTTGCTATATGGGTTTTGTGAGTAGATGAGAAAATTGTTTAAACAGTCTAAAAAAATTACACTGAAAATGGAACATAAAGCAGCCTTATTACTAATGGTGACTTGATTACTGTGAACTTACAGCTGGGGCCAAAATTTGTCATTTCTTTGTGAAGCTTTTAGTAATAGTGAGCTTATATTCCAGAGTGTGTGTATATACCATGTTTATCAGAATAATTGAAATAACTGTTTTAGGGAGCTGCATCTAACTGTTCTCTTTAAATTTTTGCTGCTGGAAAAATAAAAGACTGGCAAAGCACACCCAAATAATGAATTCATTGCCTTAGTCCATGACATCAGAGCTCTTTCCTTCCAGTGAACTCTGATATTACACAGACAAAATCTTTCTTTGCATGTAGTACCTCCAGATTTGTCCTATGATGTATGGTGGAGATTTCATAGTATCACAGAATGGTTTATTTTATAGGAGACCTCTAAAATAATCGAGACCTGACTGAGAAACAGCATCCAGAAATCTTCACCCTTAAGGGAAAAGAGACCTATGTTCTGTGTTCTCCTAATTGCAGTTCCCTCTGTTGCTGTGGTGCCTGCAAATGCTGTAGCTGGTACCCTGTGTTTCATACACTGACTAAAGAATAGGAGAATGGCATTTTTGCTCCCTATAATGTTTCTGCTGGTTATGGAAAATGTGGAAAATAGCACATGACCAACATGTTGGTTTAACCAGTTTGATCCTTCCTCAGATTGTGAAGCTGTTTTTTTCTCTGATTAGAATATATGGTTTCCCTCTCATGTAATACTGCTTAGGAAGGAGAAAAAATGTTTTGAAGTTGAGAGATACCATAACTGAGGACAAACATGGGTAAATACATTATTTGTCTTATTCCTTCTCCTCTGCGTGAAAAGAGGGGCCCATTGCATGAGGCACAGTACAGTAGACAAATTACCCTAGTAACTACTTCTAATAACAAAGGTGTTTTGGGAAGCCTGATTAAGGCTCTTGAAATACCATCAGAACTTAGGCAAAGCTTGTCACTGATTCCAGATGAAGGCTTGCCTCTGAAATTGGTGGTAAAGCATAAATCTAGGTAATACATGATGCCCATTAACACACCTCTGTGCCTAATTCATTGGATACATATTACTGCCAGTACCTGTGCTCTGTAATTTAAACCATTATGAAAAGCATAAGCTGACCTCAATAGATGCATACTTAAAGATAATTATGCATTTTCTGTGTTTTAATTCTGATTATTGTTTTCTCTCGGCAGGCTTGATGTGTTAAACTATTTTAGCAGTATTTGCCATTATTCTGGCAAATCGTTGCTGTAAATGAATCACTGCTAGGTCCTATGAAATTCCAATGCATTTTTTTCATTCTGCTGAGTTTTTATCCTCCAGTATTCATATGTGTGTAAACTGAATGTGAAGGCATTAGAATCATGGGATCAGTGATAGTTTGACTCACAGGAATGTGGAGGAGAATGAAAATAATCAGTTGGGCATGTTAACTGCAAACTTTATTAGTGATAATATTTCTCCCTTTTCACACAGAAGTCTGAAAAACTGCAAGAAGGCATACGTTGGAATAGCCTTTTATTGTATTAATTTTATTAACTTTGTCTTATCCTAATTATAATACCTTTATTTATTTTTTTTTTCAGATTAGTGAATGGCTCTGTTTAAACTGCCAGATGCAAAGAGCATTAGGGGGTGACCTAGCACCAGGTCATGGTCCTGGGCCACAGCCACCTCCACCCAAACAGAAGACACCCATTCCACCTTCAACAGCTAAACCATCCCCCCAGCCACAGCCAGTTCAAAAGAAAGATGTTTCTCCCAAACCTGATCCTTCACAGACAGCAGAATCTAAAAAAACCCTGCCACAGAAAAAGCAACCGTCCTTGCCTGGGTCTCCCCCTGTAAAACCGAAACAACCCCACCCAGAGCCCACTGAGACATCTCAGAAAATAGATGCTACTCCAAAGTCTGATCAGGTCAAGCCAACGCAGGCTGAGGATAAGCAAAAACAACCCAGTGGAGAGAAGCCTGTGGCAGACACTGTGCCTACTTCTGCAGCACCAGGGCAGAAACAGGACTTGGCAGGTCCCAAACCGCCACCAACTCAACAGAAAGTGACAGATTCCCCAAAGCCAGAGCCTGCCAAGCCTTCACAGGACACACATGCAGCTGAGGATAAGCCAGATTCCAAACCTGTTCCACAGGTGTCTCGGCAGAAGTCAGACCCCAAGCTTGCGTCTCAGCCTGTGACTATACCAGATGCTAAAACTCAAAAGCCTGTTGAGCCAACACAAACAAAAGATGACCCTAAAAAGTTACCAACAAAACCAGCCCCAAAGCCTGATAGCAAACCAGCTCCCAAGGGCCCACAAGCAGGGGCAGGACCCAAGCCAGTGCCAGCACAGCAACTGCCTCAGAAAACTCCAGAGCAATCAAGGCGTTTCAGCCTTAATCTAGGAGGCATCACCGATGCCCCTAAGCCTCAGCCTACAACACCACAAGAAACAGTTACTGGGAAACTCTTTGGCTTTGGAGCTTCAATCTTCAGCCAGGCCTCAAATTTAATTTCCACAGCGGGTCAGCCGGGGTCTCAGACATCAGCTCCACCTGCACCTGCTCCTGCAACAAAGCAGCCCCAGCCTCCACCTCAGCCTCCAGCCCCTCAGGCAGCCCCCAAAGAGGCTGGTCAGGCTCAGCCTCTTCCAAAAGCTATTCCTGCAAAAAAAGAAGCCAAGCCTCTTACAACCGAGAAACCGGAGCCATCAAAAGCAGATAGTGTTTTAACAACTAAAGGATCTGATTTAGAGAAGAAACCTGGTTTGGCAAAAGATAGCAAGCCTCAGGCTGCTGAAGCTAAAAAACCTCCTGGGCTGTCGGAACCAGAGAAAGCCAGCCAACCTGAAGTATCTTGTCCCCTTTGTAAAACTGGACTAAATATTGGTTCTAAGGATCCTCCCAACTTTAATACCTGCACAGAGTGCAAGAAAGTTGTGTGCAATCTCTGTGGATTTAACCCGATGCCGCACATAGCTGAGGTAAGGCAATGGAGTCTGTATTTACCCTGTATTCTTACCTGCAGCCTCCCTGTGCTGTGGAGACCAGCCTGTAGCTGACTTTTAGCTGTTGAATTGTCAAGAAAAATTGGAGCATTTCATCATCAGAGGGCTTTTAAAATTAAGTATCTATGTTGTATGAAATTTGGTCAGTTGTTGGATAGTACTTCCAATGAATTTTCAGCATATTAAGGGAGTGTGGTATAGGTGGTTGCTAGAGTGTTGAGACATAAGCAGATATGGTTATGAGCTCTTTAGAAAGTAGTGCTACTATGACACAGCAAACTACTGTCCTTTCAGTCTCTTATGGGATAAAGTTCTTTTTCATATGCTTCAGTGTTGTCTGGTAATGTGTGCTTCTCTAACCCGTGCCTCTGATACACAGAATTACTGAATGAAGGAACATGTTAATGCTTAACTATTGCCCTTCCCTCTTGCTTAATATATCCCTAAATTTATTCCATTAATCTCATTCTGGCTCTGGACTCTGCATATACTGATATACTCATTAAGAAGATTGAAGTTCGAGTGATACCTGTGTGGTTTTTTCGGTGCAACAATGCAAGGTTCACAAAGTTACTTCATCATTAAGCAGTGTGAGTTTGAAAGTGCTTTTTCCATGATTGGCAGAGAAAGCAACTTATATTTCAAAGAATTGCACAACTTATTGTCAACAGTTTCTTCACATTCTATATTTTTATCCTCTTCCTTTCCCCTTCTAATTTTTTTTTGAGAAGGGGATTGAAAACTTTATACTACCTTAATGGAAAGGTGGAAGCATATCTTACTTGCCCTATCAATTTGGCAAATTTAATTCAACAGAAGCAAACCACCTATAAATTCTTGTGGGTAATTTAAATGTGTAAGTTGGTCTGTGCAGCACATGAAGACAGTAGCTGTCAATGTTCTGTCTTTGATATCTGAATGAATAAATGAAAAATTGTTCCCAGGGTTAAAGATTACAGCATCTCTGACTAAAGGTGAGAAAAAATGTTGGAAGAAATATCAGGTTGCAGGGAAAATATTGCTTATGTTGTTTGCATATGCCCTTTGTTGTGGATTATTTCCTTGAATATACTATCATTTGAAAGTCCTTTGTCCTGCTATAATAAGCACATTTTATCAAATATATGAATATGTTGTCTAATAGCTTTGTGGTCATTTAGGTCAGAAGGAAAGGTCTGAAAACACAGGAAGATTGATCAGTGATTGAAAGTCAGGATTCAATTGATTTTTAATGTTTATGCACTGAACACCATCAAACACACACTGTGTGTCCAGCTGTGTGCATACAAACACACGCACACTTAATGTGTTTGGTGTGTTTAAATGTTAAAAATGCGTATGACTTTCCTCAGAGGCATTCTGGTGTGCATACACTGAGTACCACGGAAATGAGATGTGTCAGTTCTGGTGAAACACTGTGCTCAAATGACAACTATGAAAGTTCCAATGCATGACTTGACTTCTTCAGAGTTGACTTAGGTGTGATGGTGTGACACTGCTTTGTGGTGTGCAGTCATGTTCCCTGGATTTCTTCTGTTTAAGATGAGAAGGCTGATGCTCTGTTTCCTTTTTTCCATCACTGTTACTGTTAGAAAATTTTCTCGTTTCCGCTTTGTGATACGCAGAGCTTGAAATACGATTGATTTTCTTTAGTCTGACTTCCTTACCCTTTTCTTTTTCTCTTCTTTGTTTCTGCTTGCATTTTCTTCTTCCTTATACTACACAGTTCCACCTCTGTCCCCATTTTCTGTCTTGCCTTTTTTTTTTTTCCAATCAGTTTTGCTAAAAAATGGCAGCCTACTTTTCCTTTACAACAGGAGGTGGTTAGTTTAACTGAACACTTCCCAACTTTCCTTTTCATAAAGATTGGAGACAGAAGAGGGAGCTCATCCTCTCCTCTCCCAAATGAGCTGTGTAAATAATGTTTACCCTCAGATAGCAATTCTGTCCCTGGATGCCCTGGATACCTCTTACTTGACAGAAACATGATGACAAGCCAGCAGTTTATGCTCACTTGCATACTCCTTTCCTCCACCAAATTCTTCTGTCTGTTGAGTACAGTCTTGGAGGTTTTATTTACTTGTCTCTATTTCTTTGGGGGTTAGGAAGGAGAAATAGAAAGGCTTTTTAAAATTGTTCTTACTGGTGGTTTTCTACCTAATTCTTTTATTCCTATATGCTGCATTCAAAGATAAAAATATAATTCCAGAAGCTACATGCCCTCTTGGCCCCAGAAGGGATTTTGGATGAACAAACATAATGGATATGTTAGTTTTACTTTGGGGCTACAGCTGTATCACAGCTATTTTAATAGTTGCTTATGTATTATCTACATGTTGTTGCCCCAGTAATGGCTGAAAATGAGTTGAGTTTTACTGACTGAGTGGTGGTTGAACCCTTGTGGCTAACAAAGCTTGTATTGGGCTACATGGTAAGGATCAGTCCCATGGAACAGGGAAATCATTGCCAAATGCAGAGGAGCATCTAAACCCCATGGGCACTTCTACCTTAAGATCTCTCAGCAGAGAATTTCTTCCAGTCAATGTGCTGCTGTACTGCAGACAGGGATGGGTATTTTTAAGGGAATAAAGTGCTTTCTTGCAGTGGCAGTTGTTTGTTCTTGCCTGTGTATGACAGAAATAACTTTCAAAAAAGTCTTTAAGCTGCTGCAGTCAGTCCTCTAATAACCTCGCTACTGCAGGAAATAAGAACTAGACTCTCACCTAGTCAAAATCAACAATATGCTATTTACTTCAGTGAAATTGTTCTACTCTGTGCAAGCAGAGAATTAGGCTACGATACTTTTTTCTAAATTGGGCTGATTGTTCTTTTTCTCCATGATTTGTTGATTCAACAGTCAAACAGTTATTTACTTAAATGGTAATTTATCCATGATGCAAACAGCCACAGATGATTAAATAAATGACACTTGATAGATTTCAAAGACCCACAGGACCATGGGAGCCCTAGTGCATTAGCAGACTCCTTATTCTGCCATTTGCTCAATGGGGAGGAGTACTGTTTACCAGCTCTGTAATTAGCTTTCCAGCTCAGGTAGTTGGAAGCAGCTCTATTTTTAGTAACAAAGCACAAGATCGCAAATGCTGAAGCCAGAAATGAAATGTGTGGCAACGACCATTTTGTGCATTTAAAACTCAGTGAAGCTGTTCAGAATATTGAACAGAAGTGGAGATGGTTGCCTGTAATGTAATTAAGTATGTTGAGGTAACAGGGTCAGGAGTTTAGAACCTGTGATAAATTAATGCAGTAATAAAATAATAATAATTAAAAAAAAATAAAAAACTAAGCTATGAAAAAATAAGCTATCCAGATTTTTAGAATCTGTATGTGCAACATGAAAAGATACCATCTTAACAGAGTCACATGTTATGAACAAAAAGAGCTGAAAATGTGATGTGTGTATATGTGAGTGTGCTAACGGATTTAATATAATAGAACTGCCAAGGGAATAACAGAAGCACCTTTTAGTCTACTGATAGCTATAAAATTATCTGGAAAGGTACTCTGAAGTTAAGAATGTTCCATGTGTGAAATAAATTACTGGGGCTACAGAAAGGAGAGAATTGTTTTGAACGATGGAGAAGGACAGGGATGACTGGGGAAGGGCAGAAAAGACATAAAATCTCTGACTTGCTAAGGATTTTTTTGAAAAAGATACAATCATAATAGATAATATAAACAATTTTGGAGTGATGTTTCTTATTTATTATATCAAATATAGTCTGTATGAAATTGTTTGACATGGATGGATACGACCACAGGAATCTATAAAACTTGATGGTTCCTGTGCAATCCGTATTCTTATATCATCATAATCTTTTTTCAGATGAGTCCCTGATGTAAATAACTCTCCTAGTTTCTGTTTTTCCAAAATCTCACTGATATGTAATTGCAAATGGAGTGAGGCCCTGAGCAAGTGTGACCCATTTTTCAAGCTTTATAAGTAGGGTTTGAGAGAGTAATTGAAAGAAACCCCAAACCTATGCTAAGTGAATCAAACCCTGCTATTGAATGACCAAATGTGCCCTGGACTTCTTAAAGGAAGTGTGCAGCGACTTTATAAAGTAATAATCCATCTATTATTGTATTGAAAATCCCTGAAATGGTGTACTGCATCATTTGAGGTGACACACATTGCCTATCTTTAATTAATTAACAACTCTGTAGTGTCATGTATTTCCTATTTAAAAAGCTCAGATCACTCTGCAAATTGGCAGGTTTAACTTCTATTAGAAATTTCTATCTTCTCTCTTATGTTTGGTGATGAGTTGTTTTGGAAACAGATGGTGTCTGGGAAACACAGTGAAGAAGAATTTGCGCTAAAGATACCAAGAGAAAAACAACCACTCCTTTCAATTGCATAATTTATCTTCTCTGCTTCTTTCTCTCCCTTTAAAGATCCTTTTAAAATTTTGATTGTAAGAAAATGAATGCTATTACTGTTTAATTACAGTGGCTAAATAAAACAGAACATAATAGGCTAACTCAATGTACTCCCTAAAATGTATGGAAATTTTTCCTTTAAATGATAATTCTTTATAATTGAGAACATGTTAAAACTACTGCTAATTATTATTTTGAAAGATAAAATCTGGCATTGAAAAACAGAGTGTATGTTAGATGATAAAAACTCCACTGTATTTCTTGACTGTCAGAATGAAATTAATTTAACTTCAAATGAGGTACCCTTCTCCTGTTAAACTAATTCAATATGCATAATAGAAAAAAAATTAAGTGGAAATATTTTTTTACAGCAGAATGACTCGCCTCTTCCACTTTTCCTGTAAAGCACATATACTGCGTATATACAGAATGGAAGGGCTAATATGGAATGACACTTTGATGAATGATATAGTCAAAATTGAACATAGAGAAATATATTTAAAAAAAAAATAATTCCCAAATTCACTTTTTAAATAAGGCTGAAGAGCTTACGTTTCATTAACAGAGTTAGA